AATATGCGTTTTTGCTGCCTGTTGCAGCGCTCTAGCGCTGCACGGCAAAAACGCATAAAAACGGGATGGGCGCGCATGGTGTGGGCACATTTCCCCAAAGTTTCAGCCTTCTAACTTTTCTGGTTCTTGAGCTGAAAATGGGTGACAAACAGTGTAAACACACCGACACACACACATAGACAGCCTTTGCCAATATGCGTTCTTGCAATTCGCACATATGCAAAAACGCATAAAAACCGATTTTCATTGTTTTCACCTATACAATGGAACGAATATTCGAAAAATTAGCCTTCAAAAAATTTTATGTATTTTCCATAACTCGTGCTGCTTTTATCAGAGAAGTAAGCAGCAAATCATCGGTGATGCACACCAGGTGGGCCCGTGCGATTATGCGTTGTTGCGGTATTTCTTGCTGTGGTGAGATCGCTTGGAACTGCAGTAGCTGGGATTTGTGAAATACTGATTCAGAAAGTTAATTGTGCAACTACGTGATATTTGGGCAATGGGCATTCGTTAAAATTTTAGCTCCCTGGCTTCTCTGGTTTCCGAGTTGACAATTTTCCTGCCAAAAGCTTTCACGAGGCTGCACGTAAGAATCACGCGCACCCGGCGTCTAAATTCAAAATCTTCAAATTGCATGTGGGCTGGGAAGATTCCCTTAAAATTTCAGCCTCCAGCTTTTCTGGTTCCCGAATTAGCAGCCCGAATTAGCAGTTTTTCCGCCAAAAATTTTACGTGCTTGTATTTGGGACTCAAACGTGCGTGAAGATTGGTACCGCGGTCCTGGGGTGGCACTTGGCCGGAAACCCACTGGCAAAATTTCAGCGCGGAAGCTTACTTGTCTGACGGGTTGAAATACCCGGGCAGACACACACACACATACACAAGCACTTATGCACAGAAACATGCACACCGGGTTAATCACAATATGCGTTTTTGCATTTGCTTATGTAATGAGACGTAATGGTTGCAGTGAATTCGATTACTCCATTCCAGGTCTTTGTCGAATTATATGATTTGGATTTGCAAAAAGGAGGCGAATGGATGGAAACTGCGCGATGGATCAAATATGAAGAGGTATACCTGAAAATTCTCAACACTAAGCGAACTGAAAGTCTTTCTTTTTAATAAATACAACAGTTACGCACTGATAAGTTTGCATTCCTTAATCATCAGCTTCACATGGATAGACAAACAAATACACATGTACGTTAGCATATATCAATACACATATATATGCATAAACAGGCGTGCGCACATCCACGTACGCAAAATCATTATGTCACAGTGCTACTAAGATGAAGCCACACGTCA